AATGAGTCAGGAACATCACAGAGTTCTGAGAAGGCCAGCAGGTTGTGGCACAGCATCGAGTCATTGGACACAACTGTCACCTCAGTGATGACAAACCAAGTCCTTGGATACTTACAGAATTAATGATTACTTATTTAAATGTTTTTTAAGATTTGTGTAGTGTTTTAAAGCACTGACCCAAGTAGAGATCACACACAGCTAACAGTTGTCTTTCATTTCAGTGAGTCAGGACCAGGGACAGCCCCTCACTTTGGTGGATCATCTTCACAGAACCAACCTGTGTCAGAGGGTCTTCACACATCTGGGTGAGCTCACATGAAGCAGACCTACAAATGGCTAAAGACCAAAGAGGGAGACCTGCACCATCTTATAAAGGACTAGAAGAACCTCTGTGTACTTTTGGTCATATGGAGCCTATCTCCTGTCACATTTTATATGTCCAGTCTGTGAGGAACCAATAACAAAAGCATGCTCTGTGTTTGTCAGTGTAGCTTCATACTTTTGCTGTTAGTCAGCATAAGAGGCTAGAAAATACAGGGGTTGGACAATGAAACTGAAACACCTCTCATTTTAGTGTGGGAGATTTCATGGCTAAATTTGACCAGCCTGGTGGCCAATCTTCATTAATTGCACATTGAACCAATAAGAGCAGACTGTGAAGGTCCAATTAGCAGGGTAAGAGCACGGTTTTGCTCAAAATATTGCAATGCACACAACATTATGGGTGACATACCAGAGTTCAAAAGAGGACCAATTGTTGGTGCTCGTCTTGCTGGCACATCTGTGACCAAGACAGCAAGTCTTTGTGATGTATCAAGAGCCACAGTATCCAGGGTAATGTCAGCATACCACCAAGAAGGACGAACCACATCCAACAGGATTAACGGTGGACGCAAGAGGAAGCTGTCTGACAGGGATGTTCGGGTGCTAACGTGGATTGTATCCAAAAAACATAAAACCATGGCTGCCCAAATCACGGCAGCATTAAATGTGCACCTCAACTCTTCTGTTTCCACCAAAACTGTCCGTCGGGAGCTCCACAGGGTCAATATACACGTTCGGGGTGCTATAGCGAAACCTTTGGTCACTCGTGCCAATGCCAAACGTCGGTTTCAATGGTGCAAGGAGCGCAAATCTTGGGATGTGGACAATGTGAAACATGTATTGTTCTCTGATGAGTCCACCTTTACTGTTTTCCCCACATCCGGGAGAGTTACGGTGTGGAGAAGCCCCAAAGAAGCGCACCACCCAGACTGTTGCATGCCCAGAGTGAAGCATGGGGGTGGATCAGTGATGGTTTGGGCTGCCATATCATGGCATTCCCTTGGCCCCATACTTGTGCTAGATGGGCGCGTCACTGCCAAGGACTACCGAACCATTCTGGAGGACCATTTGCATCCAATGGTTCAAACATTGTATCCTGAAGGAGGTGCCGTGTATCAGGATGACAATGCACCAATACACACAGCAAGACTGGTGAAAGATTGGTTTGATGAACATGAAAGTGAAGTTGAACATCTCCCATGGCCTGCACAGTCACCAGATCTAAACATTATTGAGCCACTTTGGGGTGTTTTGGAGGAGCGAGTCAGGAAACATTTTCCTCCACCAGCATCACGTCGTGACCTGGCCACTATCCTGCAAAAATAATGGCTTAAAATCCCTCTGACCACTGTGCAGGACTTGTATATGTCATTCCCAAGACGAATTGACGCTGTATTGGCCGCAAAAGGAGGCCCTACACCATACTAATGAAGTATTGTGGTCTAAAACCAGGTGTTTCAGTTTCATTGTCCAACCCCTGTATGTCAAATGAAGAATCCAGATTTAAATACCTACCCAGCTGCAAAGTATAAAAGGAACACTTCTTGGTTGAATTCGACCAAAAATTCAACCAGGACGTATTTAATATAAATAATAATGAAAAATAATTAATCATTAACCTTTAAGTGGATCAAATCGAGGGATCATTTGTGTTTCAGCTTCCCCCTGAAGAAGAGCCAAGAAGCCCGAAAGCTAGCATAACGGCAGCTTTTTACCATGTTTTGCATGGTTTTAATTGTTTCAATTGCTTTTTTAATTAATTTTAAACACAAAACAACTTTTTGCCGTTTTCATTTTTATTTGATGTTCCAAAATCCTTTTAGCCTAACCCTTAACCCGTAATCCTAAACCTAACCCCATTCTCTGTCCGGACTAAATTCTTAATCATTTGCAATTAAAACCTCGCCCGTGTCGCATCGTTCCAGATACCGGACCGACCAATCGTCTCTTTTCTGGGAGCGACATTCCAGCACCACTGATTGACAATGTAAAGGCTGACGTCAAGGTTGAAATCATCATCCTTTTGTTTGGAATTGACTAAAGGAACTGTAAATACATCTCACCGATTAAGAAATAGCTGGATGGCGCTGTGTGTGCAGTCCTGAAGAAGTTACCACACACAGCCATCTATACCTCAAATAAACTTCTCTCCTCTCCTCCCATGGCAAAGGAAAAATATTTGAACTGCTTTGAATAATTGTATCACTAATAATTATGATTTTGTTCCAGTTTCACCCGGAAAAGGCTTTAAAACGAGGGCAGACAGGCTCACTGGTCCCAGGCAGAGCTCAGACATAGACTTTTCTATTAATCCCCCAGCCAACACCCATCCCACCTATATAAAGGACACCAATGATTATATTGAGAGGGTACGGAACCACTATTGACATGGATAGTTTGTTCACGGATATTGAAATTAATGAAGGCATACAGGCCATTAAAGACATTTTGAATGAATACCAGGATCCTAAGAGGCTGGATGAAGAATTACTCAAACTCCTAGGAATTAATCTACAGAAAAATTATTTTGAATTCATCCAGGACCTTCAAGTCTGAACGAAAGAGCCCCCCTATTTAGATCAATGATTGAATCTTAGACATAACACAGTAACCAATAAATAATATGTCTAGCCGTTGCCAATAGAAAATATACCAACATGACATTCCCACTCTGTTTATCTCTAAAAGAAAGAGTCAAAAAAGTAATACTTCATCCTCCTGCTGGATTCCACATTTTGCCAACAGGTCCCAAAGGTTTGGATGCTGGACATGTGTTCTATCGTCTCTGGGTGAGATTTCCACGCTGCACAGTGCCTGGCCCTCTTTTCTTTATTGATTTGCTGTAATATTCTTGATGTGTAAATCATCCTGACTTTTAAATCTGTATTGAAAACTGAAGGAGAGATAAGTGGGCTCAATTGATCAATTTAAGCGCATTAATGGGTAACTTCTTTTTTCTACCTTTGTTTATTTCAGTAGAATAAGCTGCTGCGTGTGTCATTGGGTGGGGAGCAGAGGTAGGTCAGGCTGTCTGAGCTAACATTACATGTCTTCATGAAGGGGGTTAGTGAGTACATTCAGGACAACACAATGTTCCAACCCCTTCCCCGGAGGGGCTGTGTCCCTCCCGGCTCGCACCCCCCTCCCCCCCTCCCCTCCGGCTCCAGAACACAGATCACACACTCATGTAGGGTTTGGGGGGCCATGGGGGATCTGCGTGCCCTTTTGCAGGAGCTCCTACAGGTTCTCCACTCGGATTGCCCACAAGGAACAGTGTCCTTTTTACAGACATAGCAGCTTTCATTGTTTGTTTCTTTGTTCCCTTTCTCTTTCTGTCTAAAGGATCTCTCTCCTTTCCACTGCTCCTCTTTCTTCCCTCTGTCAGGTTCGGCATTATTGGACACATGGAAGTTTGGTAAAGTTTGGTAACAAAAACAAAGTAGTTTTGGCCAATCAAGGGGGGCTTCTCACTAACAAAGCCATTTTGTTCAGCATAGCACAGTACTCAGATTTAAATTCTGCTGCCAGAATGCTGAACAGGACAAGGTAAAAAATAAAATAAACAATTACACCTAATTCACCGTAAAACATTCCCCTGAGTTTATAGCTGTTTCCGCTGGGCTTTTAAATGCATGGGAATAACCTACAAACGTAACTTTCAACTTGATAGCATTTTGTGAAGACATCACTCAGTTGCGATTTAATTCTCATCTAAATGAAATGGTCTTGTTGCTCTATCATCACTTTCCCTTTCCTTCCTTTACTTCAGTGTTCCAAAAATGTAACATTCAGTAGGTAGGCAGTCAGATATGAAGGTATTTGACCAATGTGACACAAAAGTTGACAGAGAGGTCTTTGAAGAATTAGTGAAGGAGTCCCCTGGAACCTTCCAATGTTGAGCAATGAAGAACATGGTCATCACTCACCATTCACAGATGTGTTCTTATTAAACTTAAAGGATTTAATATGATTCTGTTTTGCTCATGTTCCTTAATGCACAGATGCTTCTCTGTCATCAGCAGCATCTGATGCTACTATCCTTCTGAGTTTCACCATGTGGGATCCACCTGAAGAAGCAGCCCCTACAGAAGGAAGTCCCCCTAAAAGGCCACGCCACAGAGGAGATGATGTAAGAGGTTAGTAGACACTGTTAAACTGAATCTGGATTTTTTCCAATTTAATGGTTTTTCTGTGATAATTTCCCCTTTGTATGTTTGGTTTAAACATGTCTGACTGTATGTTTTGTTTCCATTTAAGGTGATTTAAAAAATCCTCACATCAAAGCCTGGGGGTGAACACACCATGCAAAAAGAGAGTATGCAAAAACCAAATCCCGGAGAGATGCCACCAGAAGACAGATGATGAACGCAACTGCTGCTGAGATGACACACACACATGGGTAATAATCGTTATGTAGGCTCTAAAGAAACATTGTTACTGTTGGATTTGAAATGTGTCCAATTGAGTGATTGTCATCATAGGATTCATCCATATAAGGACCCCCCCCCCACCCTAAAAATGTCAGGGTGATGCACAGGGGATAGTTGCTTTGTTTCCATATCTGGACGACCCCTATTTAAAACACGGATATGTAAGTAAAAGGGTCCTGAAAACACACTTAATTTCCATTAAAAATGGAGATAGCATAGTCAGTCTGCATGTTTTCAATGACACAGGAAGATTTCTACGACCCAGAGCGTGGTTCTGGATACCTGGCATGGCGGCTGAAGAGCATTCACAGTAAAACTGCAGAGGAAAGAGGTGCCTCCGCTAGTAGACCTCCCAGAGGAAGTTTACTCATCATATGATGGTGATGAATTGTGAAGGCCATTAAAATTGTGTTTTGTTTCAAGGTGGTGGACCAAGCCGTGGTCAGCCCAGACCCTTCACTGCTGACCAACTGTTAGCAGATGAGGAAGAGGAGGCAGCTGTTGCTGTTCTGAGACCCTCTGCTGATGAAGACTCTGAAGATCTTCTGTCTCAGAAGATGGAAGCTACCTTCATTTACCCTCATATAATGGTCAACCATGAGAGCAGCAGATGTCTTCTCAGTCCTCCCACGGTTTCTCCATACACCAGGACTGGTAAGTCCACATTCTACATCTCAATTAGCTGAACCAATGAAATTCCCCATAGAGCATGTGTGGTGTAGTCACACACATTATCTGTGCCATCACACAACACAAACAGACATAAATCCTAAGGCCAGTGTATACCTACATGTATTGCCAGAATCCCATTTTGCAAAAGTGTCACAATCCCAGGCCTTCTGCTGCCCCCTGCTGTTCAAAATGAGGAATGCTCCAAAATATGTTCTGGCAAACACATGAAATAATTGCAGTTCACAAACGTGGGGACACATCAGTGGGCATCACACATGCAATATCTGTCATTCCTCCTTTCTTTTTACTTTAGTTTTGTATTCCAGATAGAACCAGATTTCAGGCTGCTGTTTGATGAACCGACAGCAAACAGATTATTGGAAAAGTGGCCCACCGGTTTCAAAGCCAAAGTAATCACAGAGAGCCAAGGACTTGTAGCGAGCACAGAGCTCCTAGATTTGATGAGGAATGCTGAGTCAGCTGCCTAGTTTGAGGATGGTAAGACAGGGACTGTTTTTCATGACTATTGTTTGTAAGTGTGCCTGTTTAACATGCATGTAGCATAAATATTTCATATTTTCTGGATCTTCTTCCACACTATCTCTTTATTTTCTGATTTCTGCAGGGACAGTGAAGTGTCCGCCATCTTGCTGCTCTTCCATCTCCTGCCACCATCTGCCCAGAGGGAAAATGTCTGCAGGTCAGATTCCTAAAAGGATGCTGGACAGTAGTTTGAAATATGCTTTTCGTCACATTTACAGTATGTACAGCGATGTGTTGTGAGAGATTGGTGACTAAATCTCCCTGTTTAATGTTTGGTTTTAGGCTGGAACCAGTGTAGAGCAGCATCTGGACAACATCAGCCAAAGCAGGTAGCCTCAGCTCCTGGCTCAGGGCCTACTGAAGCAGCTTCCACACCTTCTTCATTGGCAACACCATGTAAGGCAGCAGGTTGATGAACTCTTTAAGGCATATCATCTCTTTGGTACCTTGTACAGTCTTTCCCTTTCTGCTAACAACCATATAAAAGTTTTACGTTGGGGAAACAAAGGAAACTCCCAGAGTTGCTGAGTTGCGGGTAACAATGATGCATCAGTGTCTGCTTGGATCAGACAATGAGGTGTTTTCTCTGCAGTGACCAGAGGAGTCCAAACAGCCTTATGAGGCACCTTAAGGTAACTCATGCTCTCTGGACCGGCCTGACTCTTCATCTGAAATGTGTCCACGTTCTTTGGGCAGCTTTTCTGGCGTTAGAAAGCACCTGAACAAGCGCCGTAACGATATCAGACTGTTTCTTTTACATGTTCACTGAATGGAGGAAAAGTTCCCCTCATCTACATGATAAAAATGTTGCACTAGCTATTAAACACTGTTGTTGTTAAAAGATAGACAGTGTTGCGAAAATACAACGTCACTGACATTAGCTCGGGGAAAAATAATCAAACATTTTTGGCGTGAACGTGGTTGTCAGATGGCTGGTTTGAATTCTATTAAAGTCTGACTGACTTATCTCATTCTCTTTAGCGCGGCTGCATCTAGTGGATGCTGAACGCAACCCCATATTTTAAAATAGGCCATCCATTGAAGGTGCGCCATATAGTGTGGAAAATTCTGTAAGATATGTTCCAGTTGTGTCCACACTGGAGTCGATGTTTCAAAGTAAGTGTGCTGCAGAAATGTGTCAGTCAGTAACCGCTGACCTGAGACGAAGAGATATTTGGGATGGATCTTTGTTCAGAACTCACCCTCTGTTTTCAACTGAAAAGCAAACGGTGCAGATACAGATGTCCTATCGTCACTTCCAGGTTACAAATCCTCTGGGTTCCAAGTGAAGTATTCATAAACTGGTTGCAGTATATTTGACCCAGAGAAACTTCTCTCCAGATGGAATTCATTTTTGGCCAACATAACCTGTGTGCTCTTTTTTACGACCAAGATCTTAAACGGTCTGGTCTTGGTGAAGTTCCTGCTCCTGTTGTAGAAAGTTGTAGAGAGAGATGGGATTGAGATTCCTCTGTTAGGAGTGGTGTGGGTGGGGTGCTACAGGTTACTGGTGATAATGGAGGCATTCATAGCTGGTCTGGTCTGGTAGAGTCATTCAGTGGCAGGTACTGTCAGATTTAGTTGGCTGAAACAGATTACTTTCAAACAGAACTCTCAGAGCAGTCTTCAGAAATAGCGTTGCGACTCCCCCACGGCTCACTGTCAGGAAATGGCTGATAATCCATCTCCTCCATATGTTTTTGGTGTGAAGAGCTTATTGAAAATTGAACATATTTTCACACTACTGAGAACCTCTCAGTAGTGTGATTTAGGAGGGAGTGGCCCAGAACAAACTGTAGCTGTTTTTGTATTTTAAAGAACAACATCTTACACCGGAGGAGCTGCATTCAAGAATACGAAGTTGGATTATGGATTCATGGAGAGAACCAATAGGTCAGTGGCAAACACTTGATTGTGGAACTCCACAAACTGTTCCAGACATTTTATCCACAGAGAAAGCTGTGTTTCATAGTTGGTGCATGCGCTATGAAGGCAGCATCATTTTTGTAGAGGCAGCTCAAGTCATTTAGAAATGTATCCAAAACCCTGGCCAACAAACCCCAGCATCACATACCATGTATTTGGTGATCTTCAACCTTTAGTCGTTTAGACATTGGTCGTGGAAAAGTGGTGTCTTTAGAAATGGTAAAATGTGGGTCTGAAACTGTCAGGGCAAATCAAGGTTCCTCCAGTGTTCAGGCTCTGAAAGTGAACTGGGCTAAACACAATGGTTTTGTTTACCACCAACATCTGGTTATTGGTGGTGCAGCTGAATGCGAAAGGCCTCTTTTACCAGATGGAGTCTGTCCTGACCCTTCATGAAAAACTGCTGCTGCTCACTATGTTTAAAAGAACATTTCCATGCTTAAGAGGTAAGAAGGAGAAAGCAGGATGTTGTTGTCTTTCATGTTGACCAGCTGTCTTTTCCCGGGCCTTTCGACATCCAGACTCAACTTTATTTGATACTTCATTGATCCCAAAGGAAATTGTTGGTTGGATTCTAACCAGAGTGTGCAGAGAGCAAATATTCAGCAGTCCATCATCTTCTCCACTTGGTCAGCCCTTCAAGCATTCAACATGTTTCCAGACATTTCTAGAATGATCTGTAACTTGGTGTCTGAACACATCTGACCATGCTGACCTGGAAAGAAAAGCCAAATGTGTAGATAACTGGGCCTGTAGTCTTCCTCACCTTCATCGGATGGTCTTCAGCTGTCCTTTCTCTGTCTGATCCTCCTCCTCAGATCTTTGTGAAGAACATCCTAACCTCCTGTTTGTTGGGAACCACTCCTTATACAACATGACCCAATTCTTCTCTTTCCAGCATCTCTCTCTTTATCACCAAAAACAGTGTGAAGCCTGAAAGTGTTGCTTCTGTGTATGAAGAGAGGAACTTTCATCTCAGCCTAAAATGATAAAAACCATAGCAAAGAGGCCTTTAATGCAGTGAGCTGGTCACTGAGTTATAACCTCTGGGTTATGGGCCCAGCTCGCTCCCTCTGAACCCCTCTGCTGTGTGTGCTGGGTTTTGGGGCTCAGTGGGAGTGACTGTTAAAAAAAAAAATGCTCATCAGAATAATGTTGTGGTGTTGTTGGTGCTGACCTCTGACCCTGACTCTTAGGGATGGTGACACTAACTGATCTCTCACAGTGTTTTAGTGGTTTCACTGAACCCATTGTCAGGAGAGATCAGGGTGATATTAGTTTTTATAAAAGCTGTCTGGATGCTGTGGACTGAGCAACATTTGGAGAGATGCAAGATTACAAAAAGACCTTCCTTCTAGCCAGAGTTGAACCAGCAACCTAAGGATTTCAGCCACTGAACATCTACAGTCCTCCGCTCTACCAGCTGAGCCATCGAAGGGATGCTGTTCCTCTGACCAGCTGCCTTTTGCCAGGCCTTCTGACATCCAGACGTCCCGGGGTGAATGACACCGCTCTCTCTGCTGGTCCACGTTGCTTTATCTGCTGAGCAGCAAAGCAAGTCGTGACTGTAAGCTTGTTTTAGTTCTGTGTCATTAATTATCGATTATTTTAATCAAAGAAGTTCAGTAGTATAACACATATAAACAAGATAATGAAAATAACACTGCAGAAATAAAAATGAAATGTTACACATTAGTGTCATTTTAAGAGTAAAGTGTAATCATGTTACTCTGAACAGGGTGAACAAACTTCAGTGTTTAATATTTTTAAACATTTCATTCTTCATTTTGACTCTGAATTGAGTAGATTTAACTTTAAGTTTGACACTAGCCATACAGTGAATTTTACTCTATTTTTGAGTGGGACCAAATGTTATCTCTAATGGAGTTCATTTCAACTCTGAGTTAAATCAACATTTTGTTTTTTCCTGATCATTTCCACCATTTACATCTTTAGGCTCCATTGCTCTTAAAAAGGTTATTTGTACCTCTGAACTTAAAGGGATCACAGGAGCTCTCGGTTAAATCACAAGCTGCTCTTTTCATACAGGGTGAGAAGCTCGGCCATCCGGGAGGGGCTCGGAGTAGAGCCGCTGCTCCTCCACGTGGAGAGGAGCCAGTTGAGGGGCATCTGATCAGGATGCCTCCTGGTCGCCTCCCTGGGGAGGTGTTCCGGGCTCGTCCCACCGGGAGAAGGCCCAGAGGAAGACCCAGGACCCGCTGGAGGGACTATGTGTCCCGGCTGGCCTGAGAACGCCTTGGGATCCCCCCGGAGGAGCTGGCAGAGGTGGCCGGGGAGAGGGAAGTCTGGATTTCCCTGCTCCGGCTGCTGCCCCCGCGACCCCACCCCGGATAAGCAGTGGAGAATGGATGGATTCTGTTTGTATTGAAAAATATGCTGATATAATTGTGAAGGGATAAACGGGTGGGCTGGGTGGTTGACAGCTGCTGTCCAAGTGTGAAATGTTTATGGGTAATTTTTCAGAGGGCAAGAAATGTGTCCTCTGAAACATTTCTAATTAGATTCTCCAACTATGTGAGGTAAA